CACGGGTCCCTACTCCGACCCTCCTTAGCCTGTATCCCGCCGCCGGAGCCAGGACATTCCTCGCTCGGGAGGATTTAGGGAGAGGAGAAACGTTAGGACGCTTTTAATTGGAAAGCGGGGTCCTCTTTCAGAGGGGCTTGTTTACTTAGGCTGGGCAGCAGAGGCTCAGGGGAGGCAGTAATTGAAGGAAGGGTTTGGGAGATTACAGACAACATATGGCTCGCTTTTTATCTGCACTTTCTCATAAAGTGGCCTTTGGTGCGCGGCGGCCAGGGGGAGGGAGGGCAGGGGGCTTCAAAGCAGCAAGGGGGGGACAGAGGAGACGCTGGACATGCACATCACATGCTGCTGGTGAAGGGCATCCAGGACCGGTGCCGGAGCAGGAACACCCCTCTGCATCCCCCTGCATGGCAGTGGGGTCCCCATGGGGAATGCAGCAGGAGAGGGCAAAGCCACGCCACGCTGAGCATCCAGGTGAGATGTGCACCTGGGCTGTCCCCTGCCGTGCCACTGTCCCCAGGGCCACATGACATCCAGAGACAAACTGTTGGTGGCCACCAAAACCAGCAGGGATGGTGGTGGGGCTAAGCTATTGGGTCTGTGGGGAGATGGGAAGGGCCAGGACCCCCCAAGCCAGGGGTTGCCAGGGGATGCTGGGGGCTTCTGGCTGGGTTTCCAACCAGCCAAGGGGTTGCCGTGCCCTTTTGACTCCCACACTGGCCCTTCGCATCCGTCGGATCTCAGCTGGAGTTTCCACCAAAATAAGTATTTCCCCTGGAGGTTTTTGCTAGTTGAAGCTCTTCTTTGGCCGGAGCCCCTAGCAGCGGGGCTGGGCCATGGGTCAATGAGTCGCTGGGGAGGAAAAGCTCCCCAACCTTTCCCAAACTGCCCTTTTTCCCCACTAGGAATAAACCCAAACTGCTGTGGCCAATTCACTTATTTTCCTGCATGACGTCTCCTCATTGGTTCCTATTTTAACTGAAAAAGTTTGCACACCCCAGAAGGAAAAAAAAATAATTCTTCAATCAATTAAGGACTTTCCCAGGGCTAAGGCAAGAGCCAGTGGCAGCGTGCCGGATCCTGCTGCTTTCCTGCCTCTCCAGCACCTCCAGCATTGGACCATCACTCACCAGCTCCCTTCAGCCACCTCCTCCCATGGCCTCACTCTTTATTTTTTAAATATCATCACCATTATCTTGGGGGAATGATTTGTTCTTTCGAGTGAGTGGGGCTGCAGAGCTCAGGAAGAGCCAGCTGCAGGCAGTACCACAGAGCAGCCGGGTTCTTGCAGAGGAGCATGATATTAAAGAGAAACATGGGCATTGGGCAATTTTTGCTCCATCCTCACCAAAACCAACCCTGTTCCCCCATGCACCTTCTCCCACCTGCAGTGTCACCTGTGCCTGGTGGTGAGCGCCAGGCTTTGCTGTTGTCTGTGACCTGCCCTGCTTCACACCTTAACAATCCCCTCCTAAACAGGCTCGTAATGCTGATTTCTATTTTTATTTAATTCCAGTGCTTTGCTCTAGCAGGGAAAACACAGGCTCCCCGCAGCTTGCCCACAGCCCTTTCCAGAGCACAGCATTTTAAAGGGAAATCCTTCCCTCCACAAAGCAGATTTTCCCCCAGTGATGGTTTTTAAGAGGAGCTGAGCGACCCAGGCACGTGGTGTGGGGCTGCACTGTTTCGCGAGGAGCAGGGCTCTGCAGGGACGGCATTAACATGAGGATTTCTGCTAGCAGATCATTTCCACCCCCCAGCCCCCGTTGCTGGGCTTTCTTACTAAATTTGTCTTCCTGGGAAACATTCAGATTTGATTTGCATTGACTGTAGATACATATTTTAATGCTGATCTGATGCTCTGGGCAACCTGACCTGGCAGTGACACCCTGGCTGGAGCAGGATGCCAGCCTCAGTTTCCCCTCTATTAAAAAGGGTGGCTACAGCAGAAGCAGCTCACGTCTTGCACTCAGCCTTTCCAGAGTCCCAGGTGGGGACAGTGAGGCACAGGGAAGGGACAGAGAAGGTTTAGCCCAAGGTAATCAGTGGGATGCTTGGGACTGTGATTTTTTTTTTTTTAGGAAGAAAACTCTCATTTACAGTCAACCTATGCCAGCGCAGCTCCTCCACTTCCCTGGGCGAGGAGGTGGCAGATATCACCTTCGGCCAGCACGGCTCTCCCTCCCATGCCTGGGGAGGTCATACGCCCCTCAGGGTGGGGGCCAGGAGCACAAACCCTTACAGAAATGAGCCTAATGAGATGGGATGGTCCCCAGAGCATCCTCCAGCCCTGCAGCCCCTCCGCTGCTGAGGTCCCCACTCACGCCCTTGCCACTGAGGTGGGAGAGACTCTGGCTGGAGGATGCAGCAGTGCTTACAGAGTTTTCCCTTCAGACCATGAGGCAGAGGTTCAGGGCAGCGAGCCCAAACCTTGCCTCCAGACCCCACTGCGCTCACAGGGGCCTCGGAGTGGGACCAGCCAGGGAGACGCCGGGCGCGGGCGGCCCCTTACCAGAATCTGACAGAGCCGGGCTCACCAAGCTCAGCAGCTCCCGCTCCTTCTCGTAGTCGCCCTTACATAGGAGCTGCCCCTCCTTCAGCACAAACTCGTCGCCCTTCTGCAGGCGCCGCTCGCAGACACAGCAGCAGAAGCAGCGCAGGTGGTAGACACTCTTCTGGGCGCGCATCACCAGCTCGCTGGGTGCGATGGCCTCCAAGCACCCAGCACACTTCACCGCGAAGAGCCTGGGGGAGCAAGAGGATATCCCGCTGGGATGCCCGGCAGCACCGCAGCTGCACCCAGAGGGTGGCACAGTGTTGGAGACAAGGGATGGGGCACCTGTGGTGGGGAGACAGGCATCAGCACAGGATCACTGTGTCACCCCACTGGGGCTTTGATTGTGCTGAGGTGCTGGGCACAACGATGCTGGCACCCCACAGTGACATGGCATGTGCTGCAATCTTGCCCTGTGCCAATGGAGGATGCTGCCTTTGGGTCAACTTTAGCATTTTTGGCTGATCTGTTGCCAGGTGCTTACCATGAATGCGGTCAAAGGACAAAGACCCCAATGTCAAGGTGCTCCAGGTGAAAAACACAGGCGTCAAACCCAACAGTCCACTACCACCACCACAAGACATGGGACACACCACACCTACATGAGTTTTATCAAGTCAGCCCTACACGTCCACCTGCCTCCAGCTGATGCCTAGACATAAGGACATACTGGAGATGGCAATGGGGCCAGCAAGCTCATCCATGTCTCTCAACAAGCACCTGCAGAAAGCATCTGTGCTGTTGGTCCCCCACGAACCACCATGTCCCACTGGCCTGGGTCACTGGAACAGCCCCGTTCCTGCTTGCAAATGCATCAGAAATGTCTAATATATCATAAAAATCTCCATGGCAGCAAGTTTTGGGTTAAGGCTTGGGTGACAGACTGAAGACTTGGTGTGTCAAAAGGAAAAGAAAAAGCTCAGCCTGGTCCTTGACATTGATGTGACAGCGTTTGAGGCATCCCTAATTGTACAGTTCCCAGGTTTCAACACACTGGCTTTCTACTTAAAAGCCAATAATAATAACTATAGCAATAACACTTTAGGTTGAAACAGAGCTTTTCTTTCTCCAGTTTTAAATGTCCTTGCCAAGAAGCTCAGTAGCATGATCACTGACTTACACCTGGGGAAACTGAGGAGAGCAAAGTGGAGGTGGCAGCATCAGTGCTGGCTTGAGAGGAGTTGGAGGCACCTGAAACCAAACCATGGGCAGAATGTTTTAAGTGACTGGGATGTTTCCCTCAGTAGAGATGTTTGAAGGTACCAGACCAGAACCTCTTTGCCACCCACAGATATCTGTGGTTTTGGCTTGGGCCCCATAAAGAAAAAAAATCACTGTTTACCCAGCCTCGTCCTAAATATCTGTGGGAACTGGACATTATTATTCCCCTGTCTTGATGACTTTGGCCCAGAAAGAGAAGTCAGAAGTCAGCACACATCCTGCAGAGGTTATCTCCGAGCATCACCCATGTCCCAGCCCGGGGATGCCCCAGGGACCCACATGGGGAGCACTGCATCCAGCCTTCCACTGGCCCCGTATAGCTCCCACCTCTGTAGTCCCTGTCCTACGTGTCATCCCCAGTGGAGACCTGTGGGGCCAGGGGGCTGCGGGGCTGGGAATGGCTGGCTGGGGAGGGGAAAGACAGCCCTGCAGCCACCAGCGGGCTTTCAATCCTTTCTCTTTTTGTTGGCTGTTACAAAAAAAACACATAGGAAATTAAAAGTGCTGAGTCAGCCCCATTCCAACAAGGAGAGGACTGCATGTATGCAAAACCCTTGCAGCAAAACCATCCGAAAATGGACATAATTTTAAAAAGGTTTTGTGATGAGCTTGATAGCCCATAAAACAAGGAGTTGGCAGGCAGAGCAAGGTACATGCATGTCTTTGTGCCCCTGAGGTAGCTCCCAAGGCAAAAGCCCGTAACACCAGAGATGCTGCTGAACAAAAGCTCCCCAGCAGCAAAGGGGTATACATCTTGCCGCAGCCCACGCGCAGCCTCTGCTCCCGTGAAATCCCAGCCAGGCTTCATTTCACCTTTTCATTTCACTGCTTTAGTTGCCCAATAGCTGATAAACAAGATGGTCAGCTGTGCAAACCGCCGGAGGGGGACAGGCAGGCTCCACCGCGCAGGCAGCGAGCCCAGGAGAGTTGGCAGCAGCTGGTCGCATCTGTGCCCATCTCATCAGAGACTAGCACTTGCCCGTGTGAAGCCAGCGAGCCCAGGCAAGGCAGTGCATCCCGCCAGCACAAGAAGGGCAGATACATGCAGGAGCAGAGGACAACTCTTGTCTCCCCATGCTGATGGGCAGGAACGGCTGCAGTGCATCACCTCCCGGTGCCCTGTGCCATGGCTGGTGAGCACCAAGCTCTGGAGGCAAACAACTGCCTGCCAGATGTGGTTGCAGCTGGCAAGGTGCCACGGCACACTGCCACCTGCCAACCATGCCTGCCAGCCTTTGGGACTGGGTGTCGAGGACTCAAAGGGCTTGGAATTGGGTCCCCAAATGTATCCCACTGTATTGGCATCAGCTCCCTTCCGCCTTGGGGTCTTCTCGCAGATGCTTCATGCCAGTGCGTGGGCTATGCCCGCTTGTTCCCAGGTCTTCCCAAAATGGCAGCAGCAAGCACGGGGATGGGGTGCACCACTCTCCCTGTGCCAGCCAAATCCTGGGTGCACTCAGCAAATTGTAGCATTCCCCAAGAAGTAGGAAAGGAATGTTATAAAGATTTTATAAAATGCTATTGTTGCTACAGAAAGTGGAAAACTATCAAATAAAAGGTAGAGGTTAAGGAGTTTATAACTCCAGATAATACCATTAGTAATGTTTATTTTTTGTACATTCAACCTTGATTTCCCAGGTTTACATACAACTGTCTTTCTCTAAGGTATATATATATTTTCAACACCCCTATGACTGCCCTGGGAGAAAAGGGATGTATATTCCTTTGAAAGCCTCCGTTCTGAAGGGTCATTTTTTCTTATTCCAGCTCTGAGAAACGTAGGCTTGTGTTAATGCTTTATATTTCTGTAGTCATTTCATCTTTAATTATGTCTCTTTTATCTCAAACTGGAGGTGATTTGTACTCATCTGGTAATGAATTCTCATCCTGTTTAAATGAAGTTTAAGCCCTACCTGTTGGGATTACTAACTGCTCTCAGTAATAAAATACTGATAAGCTATTACGTTACTGCTATCTAATCTTCATGAATGAATGTGCCCAAAATCTTTATTTCCAGGGCACTGATTAGAAAGCCATAAACCTCTGCCAATTAGGCACAGCAGCACCAACCAAGCAATGATGTTTCTAAGCCCAAAGAACGTTGCAAAACAGGAAGGTGTGAGATTTAGGTAAATGGTTGCCTAATATTAAACATTAAAGCCATACTTAGGTTGCTGAATAAATGACTTAATTTCCAAACTGCTGAGTCCCCAACAGCTCCCCCTGAGGGATGCCAGAGGGATGGAGTGTCTTTCACTGCACAGTGCAGGACTCCCCCATCCCTGGGCAATGTGAGATGCAGAGAAATCCCTGTAAAACCTTCTTCACAGCATGAAACCACAAAGAGCTCCTTATAACCTACAATAAACCCAGATTTTAGGGACTAAAAGGTGTCAGGCATAAGAACTGTAACCTACCACAGGTAGTAATGGGGAGAGAGCAAAGGGCATCGCTGGTGTCCCAGGTCCCTACAGCCCTGGATAAGCCCTGGACAGTACCAGCTCCTCTACGGGGACTGGGGAGGAAGAGTGTGCACAGATAACCCCACACATGGATAACCCCATGCATAGATAATCCCATGCACGGATAACCCCACGCATGGATAACCCCATGCATGGATAATCCCACTCGGGAATAACCCCACATAGGGTAACTCCAGCATGGATAACCCCTGCATGGATAGCCCCACTGAAACACTCCTGGTCAGACTGAGGTGGGGCAGAAGCAAAATTTTCTTCCAGCCCCTGATCTAGCAATTAATTTAATGTTTTTGCCGGAGCAAGACACACCAGCCTGGATCCAGAGATGTTTTCCTCCACCTCAGGGATCTGCAGCTCTCTTCCCAGCTCCCTCCTGCTGCAAGTAGCAGGCTGCAGAGCAAATACCATCTTTTCTCCCCTCTCTACTTCTTTGTGCCTCTCTGCAACTGCAAAGGGGACTTTGAGATTACATTTCTCTACAGGAGGCTGCACAGAAGAGAAGAAGGACTGGCTCTGCGCAGTGACATCAACAGATTTTAAACCAAGAACAAATTAGCCACCCCTAAATTGCAATGAGAGTGCCTTCATTTCTGCCATCCTAGGGATGATGCAGGCTTTAGTTCTCAGCAGATTTTTTTTTTTTTTTCCTCCATAGCATGGGATTCAAAGGCTAAATCAGGCCTGGCTGGCAGCCTTTGGGTTTGTTTAACCACATATGAAGCTGGCAGGTGCAGGGACAGGGTGACCTGCTCAGCACTGTGATGCTCGGTGGAAACCCAGCCTGCCACTGGCAGCTCAGTAAAAACCTCAATGAAACACTGACAGTGAATATTTGTAAATAAATTAAAAAAAACCCCAAACACTCACATTAGGAAGAATTGGAACAAAAATATGGTGATGTAAGCATTTTTTATCACAACATACAAGCATTTGTTTCTAATCTTAGAAACCTTCCTTTTCCTGTTAAATCTGCCTTTTTTTTTTTTTTTAATTTCGGTCCCTTTTGAAATGACAATCTGCAGTTTTGAAACAGAAAGGTGGTGGTGGTGGGTTTCAAGAAAATCTTGAAACAAAATATTCTGCCATTTCCAGAAGTGCAACATTTCAGCTCAAAGACCCCCAAACGAGCTAGCTGGTGTTACAGACATCCCCCCTTCCCCTGGGACACAACCCCACATCTCTGTGCAATTCCTCTTCCTTGAGAAAGCCATCCCAGACCTCTGCTTTGTGGTTTCCATCTGTGCATCATCACTGAAACCTAGAAATTTCGACACGTGGCCAAAGCCACCTCTGGGGCAGCGCATCCCATCCCCAGCACACCAAGGAGGGGGAGCAGCACGGGCAGCCCCAGTTTCCCATCAGAGCCACCACCCCCTCTTTCTCCCTTTATTTTGAGGTGACAGGCTGAAAGGGGCCATGATTGACGGGTGCTTCCCGGCTGCTGTCTGTCTGCGTGCACCGCATATAAACGCAGCCCTTCAGAGCCTCCC